GGCGGTGCCGCGTGGGCAGCCGCCCGCGCCGGGCTCCCCCTCGGCCGGGCCGCGCAGATAAGGCGCGCTGGGCCGCGGCCTGTGTACACAGTGCGCGGGGCGGAGGGAGCTTGCACTGACGTGGCCCTGCAGGGCCGCAGCCCCGCCGAGGGGGCCGCGTGCGGAGGCTGCGCTGCGAGGCTCTGCCCGACACCCCCTCTGCCTGCTCGGGTCATGATTTCCGGCGGGCCTGGGGGCATCCGGACCCGCTGCTATAGAGGAAAGCGCCAAGGCGATAGCCTGCAGGAGCTTTACAGAGTAGAGGGCACAGAGCAGCACAGTATGTGTGAATAATGCAGTTACTGGTGCAACAGGGAGCTGTTGAAGCACCTCTTTAACAGCTTCTTGTCAACTCTGTTTCCTGTCAGCCTTTCCTGGGCTTTCTTTAATTCCTCAATTCTTCAAGAGACCAAGTAGGTCTGTTACTACTCCACCAAGTTGCTTTTTTTTCCCCCCTTATCTTACTTTTCACTCCTTTCTGAGCTTCCAAAGGAAGTTTAAAGTAATCATCCGAGCAAGCAGTAACAAGACTGCCTGCTCAAGTATCTCTAGGCTCAGAAATGGGAGTGCTCGGTGAGAACTGAGACTTGCAGCATCTCCCTTCAGATACCTGAAAACCTTGGCATAGTGGCAGTCATGCTTGCTTGAGTAAGAAGAAACTTGTCTGTATGTATACAAGGCCAAGCAGCTTTAGCGCTCGCCTTGTAAGGTGCGTGCATTTTAGCCCGAATGCTGCATTACCTTCTGTCTTTTCTGCTCAGTGATCAAGTGTCATGGATCTCTGCTTGCCTATTCCGAGGTCAACTGACCCGCAGTGTTCCCTCCGACGACTTTCGCTACATGGGACTTGTCCAGCAAGGTGGTGAAGCCATCCCACCCAAGAGCCCTGGGCCAGCATTTTAGTCTAGCTTTGCTGCTGAAGCGAATACCCAGATAGGAGTGTCCTCAGAAGTTCTATTATACTGCAGCTGCAAAAATCAGTTTGATTTAAGAAAACAAATGCCACTCTGTACTAGCTTGAAAAACTACATAGGAGAAATGGAGCGCGCTATTATTTTTGCTTGTTTTCTTGCTGTTCAGGTGTGCTATGTCCACTCTTGAGTGGTTTAAGTGCTGTGTGTATCTAGGTGCATACTTTCGCTTTGGGTGCGGGTTGGCGTGCGAAAGGTTGGCTCAGGGTGTAATGTCTCCAGGTGATCTCTCATCCTTCTGCACTGGGCATTCTGTTTTGGTTCTCTGAGTTGGGTCGCCAGAACATAGGAGGCTGGTAGTTAATCTTGGCTGAGCTCAGTGTGCTTCCTGTCCGTGAGCTAAGTTCTGTGTTTGTGATAGTCCAGCACTAACAGTGGCACCTTCTGTTTCTGAGGAATCTGCACGCTTGCCAGCTTTCCAGCGACTTTTGGGTGGATGACGTCTTGCTTGGCCGTCAGGTTGCACGTGGCTCTCCTATTGTTGAGGCTGGCGGTCTGGGGAGCTGCTGGGCGCCCAGACAAGGGAGAACAATGGCCTGTCTGTGGAGGATGATGTTACCGTAAATAGCGTTAGAATATCATGAAAAATCCCTTTCAGGTCAACTCCTCCCCCACAAGCGTTCTGGATGGGTTACTCGCAGCTTCTGCCACCCCCGCGTGCCCAACTGAACGAGCAACGTGTTTGTCCGATTTGGGTAACAGCCTCTGGTATTGAAGGAAGCAGATAGCAGAGTTTCTGCTGCCTGAGAATCCTGTTTGTGAGCAAGCTGTTGCTGGAGCTGTAAAGAACAAAAGTGGATCAAGTCATACAATATCCTCTAGCTAAAACACAGCTCTGGTCACTAGTAATATCTAGTGGATGGTGCCCAAAATAATGGGAACGTTCTGAAGGGTTCTCTATGGTGTTATGTTTACTGGGTCTTGAGACTGAGAATCCAGTGTGTGTGCTGTGCAGTATCACCCTTGAGATATATACACACACGCACACGTGTACATGTGCGTGTGTTCAAGTTGTTCAAGTTGCTGTCTAATGGTTCAGTGCCTTATCTCTGGCATGGGCAGTGACAACCTCGGTGTACCTGAGTACATAGTTGTGCTTTAGGTGATGCTTGGCTCAAGGCAGAGCTCTGCTGGGGAGCTGCTCTACTAGAGCAGTGTTCCTTAGTGTCATCAGATGCTGGCAGATTCCACATGGTTCAGGGGAAGCTACAAGGAATACCGTAATAGGCAATTATGGAATATTCCGTATGTAGAGGAAGCTTGTTCCTAATCTCTTGCCAGCTATGGTTTATACCCTGAGGCATCATGGTTTGATTCCCATATTATTTTTCCTGCCTAATGTGGAAGCTCGTTATCCATGTAAAAGTTTGAATCTGTTCTGAATCCCAGCGTCCTGTTGGCTTCAATGGTATCCTGTGGCAGGGAGTTAATTAGGTGTTGTAACAAGAAAGCAAGATGAGCATTTCCTTTGAGTCATTTTGGGTGCTTAGCCTTTCTATAAGCTTTTTGTATGGGAAAGCAAGATTGTAGATTGCATGTCTGCTTTTTTTGTTGTTAGGATGGAGTAAGGGAGAGTGTCTGATTTGTCTTCTCTGTATCACTTTTTTTTGTGTGTGTGTACTTCTCCTTTTATTTTAAAATTATTCCCAAACCTTCTAGTCTTTTCCTGTATAAGATTTTCAAAGATCTCTAGGATCTGTAGTGTTCAGACTTTTCAGCTGTATCTATTAAAGGAAACTGGCAAACGTTCCAGGGCAACGTGTGCTGTTGATTTACATGCAGTATTATAAAGCCTTCCATTTTTTTCACTCCTGCCTGCTGTTCATATTTCAGCTGGACAGACCTTTTAATTAAGCTTGGCACAGTGATTCTTAAGTTTCTGTCCTGAAAATGTTCTGAAATGTGTATCTGTTTTTGCTCTTTGTTGATGCAATTTGTGGAGTTTCTACAGTTTTTTGCCTATTCTTAGTAATTTCACAGAGTTAGTGCAAAGCAGTTATTATTCTGTGTAGTCTGAATTGTCTTCTGAAGTGATGACTTTTATGGATCTTGGCACTCAAACCTTTTATAATTCAGGGCTACATTGATGGTTCATTTCTAGGGGAACAGATGTGCCCTTCTCTATTTCTTCTGCTAGGGAATGAATCTTTTTTTGTCCCATACAGCTTTTCTATATTTCTGTTGCTATGGGAATTTATGAATTTTGCTTGCAGAAAGAAGCTACAGAGGCAATGAATAACAATTTGGTACAGCTAGAGATCCTAAATATAGTGCATATTCAAGAGTTGTAGGGGGATGAGGGATTTATTTTTATTTCCTTTTTTTATTATTTTTATTTCCTTTTTTTTTTTTTTTTAGTGAATAAGTAACTGCAAGGCATTGTTTTCCTAGGGTGGGGGCAGATGAGGTGGGTGTGAGGAACTGGAGTGGTTGAGACGAGGCTGAGAAATTGTTGAAAGCAAAATGCTGGAAAGCCAAAGCAAAGGCTTCCAGAGAGCAGAAGCCTTCCAGAGAGTCTTAAGTGTGAACACATGGTAGTGAAGCATTGTGAAAGCAAAATGCTGTAAAACCAAAGCAAAGGCTTCCAGAGAGTCTTAAGAAGTGTGAACACATGGTAGTGAAGCATTGTGGTCTTCATCTGCATTGCATCTCCCTTTCAGATAACTGACTCAGCTGGACACATCCTATATGCCAAGGAGGATGCCACTAAGGGCAAGTTTGCCTTCACCACTGAAGACTATGATATGTTTGAGGCCTGTTTCGAGAGCAAGCTTCCTGTGGGTAAGTGAAGCAAAACCTCCGCTATCTGCCCTGGGTTCTGGGGCAGGTCATGTCTGTACATGTGACCGTGCACTAGGCGTGTGAGTGAAGCTATCCCTGAGTGTGGTTTGCTCAACAATTTAGGAGTCTTAAAGCAGATCTGCAGGACGTTGTTGGTAGGCAGCAGTGGTACAGAATATCTGCTGTGTTGCATTTGGAAATAAGTAATCTTCTGTGATCATGCTGTAGAGTGTTCAGACTTCCTCTGCTAGAGACATGAGGAAGGGGAATCTCGTGTATTCCCCCCACAAAAGTCACTGCAGATCTAATGATCTGTCAGGAAAGAAACCAGACCTGTTTTGCCCTTTCTTGCTGCTCGCCTTGTAGGAGAGGCATTTCCAGGATCCTATCTTCTCCCCCTGTTGCCTACTCTGTGGACAGTTTTATATTAGGTTGAAAATCATTTTCTGGCATGTGCATGTGGAAAAGAATGTAGCCTTGGGTTTGCACCCACAGCTGCCCTCTAAATGATGGACAATGGGAAGGGGAAATGAACAGGACGTCGCTCTCGCAGTTGTGCTGCGAGGACGGTTGCCTAACAAGCAGCAAGGCTTGTTTCCTGCATGCGTGACGCACGTTCTGCTTTGAATGGATAGGCTCAACTTCAGGACAAACGTACTGAAAACCAGCCAACACGTGGGCTTTGTCGTGTGTGCTGTGGTGTGAGGAGGTGCAAGTTTCTAAGTTCTCTCATCTCTTCACAGTTGCTGTCTGAGCTCTATTCCTTGGGCACAGCTCTCCCATGTCTTATCCTAAAAAACAAAGTACTTTACAGAAAAGCCACTAGCATTGTTCTCCATATCTGATGGAAGGCAGTCTTTGCTTTGCTGTTCAGGCCCCCATTTAAGGTGCAAACAGTTTGCTAGCAAGAGAGGACCTTCGAGAAGCGGAAGGCAATATCCTGCCTTGGGATTGGGAAGGATCTGGCTTATAGCACCTCTTCTGCAGTCTGATACAGATGAGAGAGTGAGAGACTCCAAATGCATGGTGTTTTCCTTTTACTTCACTCCAAAGGTAGTGCCTTCAAATGCTCCATAACACATCGAAACATGCAGACAGCAGTGACTCATCTGGGAGAGTCACTCATGCCATTTACTGTCCAACACCTGGAAATTTGGGAGGTCTCCAGACCCACATTTCATAGCTCCTGTGTGGTCACACACTGACGTGGGAAAATTGAAGGTTTCTTTTAGTTGTGTCTAGACTTTTTTTTCCAGTGCTTGTGACAAGAGGTTTCTTGCCTAACCTCAGCCCCTTATTGTTCTTCTGACGGTTCCGTGTCTTCCTTCTATTGTGGTGAGTTTCTTTAAAGTTTTCAGTACAAGTGAGGGTAAATCGTTGCCAGTTTCTTCTTGGACCCTGGGGCCCTAAATTCCTTGCTAATAACGTATGCTGCACACTGGGTATCCCTTGACTTCCAATGCTTGTGCCAGAATTCAAGGGAGTATTAAGGTGAGAGAGATGGCACTGTAAAACTGAGCTATGTATCAGGGGAAAGAAGAAACCAAGTCACAAGGAAGCCCTGCCTTGACTCTTCTATAATGTCAGCAGTGGGAGCTTCAGGTTACATATTAGCAAGCATTTCTACATGGGAAGAGTCAGGCATTGGAGCAGGCTGTCCAGGGGAGTGATGGAGTCACCGTCCCTGGCAGCGCTCAAGAAATGTGTAGATGAGGCGCTTAGGGACATGGTTTAGCAGGCAGGGTGTTGAGGGGCTTATGATTGCACTCGATCTTGAAGATCTAAGCATTTTGATTCTACGACTGGTCTCCAGTTTCTCCTTGTTTCTCTTTAAGAGGTTTTATTTTTCATAGTTTCCTCACGTAAACAGTCAGGGCTTCTAGTGCTGCAACCAAAGAGGATGTTGGTTGGTAGAATACTAGGAGAGGTCAGCTGTTGGCAGAGGAAGCAGGGAGCCGTTAGGCCAAGGAGGATCTAAGGAATCGGGATTTCTTAATTGCAACCACAGAAATGAGGAAGAGGAAGTGAAGAGATCCTGTGTTGAAGGTTCAGCTTGTCATAGTAGAGAAGCTGCTTAGGGCACTTCTTGTTGCTGCAGGTGATTGTGTGGCAGGCTTTCTCCCATCCTCAGCTCTCCCTTCTTGTGGTTGGAAGGATCCTGGCCTACTGCCCAGGGCTGTGTACCCAGGAACACTTATTCTAGCATCAGATGCTAATTTCTGCTTACAAAGTTCTTGCTAATCTTTACCTGTTTTCTCCCTTATAGTGATGGCAATTCTGAATAGTCATATTAGAACTGTTGCTAAGACAGTTAGGGAGAACTGGTTTTACTTTCTACTTGACCAATTTAAAAAAAAATCTGAATTTAGTGGAGGGACTGGAGCATTACTTTGCTGTACTTCTTTGAGGCAGCCTTTAATTTTTTTTTTTCACTAAACTTACTGAACAGTTCTTTGAAAATCTTTTTGACATCCAATTTAACCAAATCAGGAGCTCTCTTCATCTCCCAGGAAGTGGCTTTATGCTCACATGAGATGACTTCCCAGGGCATGTAGATATTAGGATAATTTGGTTAAAGACTCTTGTGGTTTTTTTTGTTTGTTTGTTTGTTTGTTTTTTTGTGTGTGTGTGTCTTGCTCCTGATCTCCTCTGCTCTGGTGCTCTGGTGAGCATTGGCTGCAGGAAGGAGTTTGTTACTGAGGGTCTGGTGACCTGGAAAGAAGCTGCCTAGTACCTCAACTTCAGTAAACTTCTGGAAGAGCAGCTTGAGTTTTTCTAGGATAGTCCCTGTCAGTGTTAACTTCTTGCAGAATGTCTGCTCTCCATCCCTTTTCACTCAGCAGCTCTTTCATTTGTCTGCTTCTTACTGCCTCTTGGCAGCTTTCCCTTCCAGACCAATTAATCCTTCCAGTCCTGTTCTCCTGTTCACTGGCCTTTTCATCTTTCTCACCTCTTCCTGGAAGCTGCAGAGCTCTACCCAAGGTACTGTAATTTAAACAGCATGTAAACACTCACTGGAGTCTGTTCTTTGAATTTTCTTGTGCACCCTATTTGTCAGTCTTAGGGCATACTGATATATGACGTAAGTGGTCAAAAGCTGTGGCTGGAGAATGGAACACTGGATTGTTGTAACATGTCCGTTAAAGAATGGTGCTGGGTTTTGAGTTAGCTTTTGCAATAACCAAACGTTTTTTTTAAAGCAAACCGAAAGTTTCAATCCTAATCCTGCTTGATCCATTAGGCTCTTTTATAGTTCAGTTTGAATTTGAAGCCATTGTATCCCGCAGGAAACCAATGAAACAGGTTGTAGTTAATGCAGATCATGGTCCTAGGGCTATTCCATGTGCTGACAGCAGTACAAACTGGAGGTGATTCTGCTTAGGTGATGGAGGAGCTTTTTAGTGAATAGAGGGGGAACTTGAGGCTGCTATTAAAGAACTGGATCTTGTTCTTAGCTCAGTCTGAAGTGTCCCTGTGTAACCTGTGTATTGAATTTGTGGACTGAGAGAATGTCCACCTGGCACCTCCGAAGACAAAGTGTGAGTCTCGGATATGCTCCTGGATAAAGACTCTGGAGTTCATAGTGTGAGTGAATTTAGACCTTTTGTTTTCTTGGCAGCCACCTGAGGACAAATATGTGCTCCAAAGTACTGGGGTTTGGAAATGTATTATGTATGAACATGGCATTGGTGGGAGGTACAGTGCAATAGGATATTTAGTACAGCTAAAGCACTACATTTTAATGGTATTTGATATGCTTATCCTCTTTTTCATTTTTTCCCTCTCGTGAGCTTTTCCAGATATGATAAACTTGTAGCAGTTAAAAGAGGCTGTTAGCTGTTCTCTACGGTGAAGGCTCCAGCTGTAAAAGCTACCTATCAGGCTGCTGGCTGCAACTTCACTGTACTGATTGTCGCTGCAGAGGCAGCTCTCTGAGGTAGCTTGGTCTTCCTTCGTGAGACTCTGCAGTGGGCTAGGACCAGTTGTCCCTGTCTGCTGTGACCTTGAATTGGAGAACTTTCTTCTGCTCCTTGATATGTAAAATCATTTATTGCCCTTGTGATCTTGATAAGTTGTTGGTGCGTATCCTGCCAGGAGGAACGTGTCCTCCCCAGTTGAATATTTGTCCCTCTGCTGACTTCTCTCTAGGCTGTCTCATAGCAGCTGGCATTCATCTTTTAATCCTCTGCAGTTTTTACAGTGGTTTGCATCCTACACACACTTAGCATTCTTAGTTACAGCTTGTTCTCATTATCTTTGGGAGGCTCTCCTTCAGCTGGGATTTATTCTGAAGGCTCCGTATTTTTAGGCTGGACTGTGCTGCCTCCGCACTTAGCTGCAGACTGGAGGGGAGGGATGTGTGTGGTGGGGAGAGCTGGTGATTTCCTGGCAGGCTGAATGCTTCACACAATGAATCCTTTCATTATGCTTCCAGGAACAGGGAGGATGCCGGACCAGCTCGTGATTCTGGATATGAAGCACGGAGTTGAAGCAAAGAACTATGAGGAGGTATGTCCCTTGGCTGCCTGCACTCCGCACTCCCCTTTCCCAGCACTCACGTGATGCCATTTGTAGATCTGGGGCTCATGATGGGAAGCTGTTTTCCCAGTGGTGATGAAAGCCTGTCTGCAACCTACAATTCCACTGAAGCTTTGTGTGTTGCAGTGTTTGGGGCCAAATATCAGCTAAAATCCATTCTGTGCTTTGAAGGCCTAGTGTGTGAATGCCTTTGCCAGCATGGTGTCACCCAGCATAGGCGTTAGAGGCAACAAGAGGCTGAGCTGTATAGTTTCCCCTGACTCAGCAGCAGAGGGCATTTTAGGTTACTATCAGATCAACCTGAAGGTGACATTGCATTTCTATGGCTGTTGCTTTAATAACTGAGGGAGGTATTGTTCTGACAGTTAAGAAATGGTACTTGTGTGTTTCTAAGACTCGCCAGTGTATCTGTATATAGGTATTTGGCAGAGTAGGCGGTGTGCAATGGGGATCTGGTTTGAAGGTGAGACTTTGGAAATGGGCATGAAACATAGATGTTTCTTTTTTAGAATTTAATTTTCTTGGACTGAAAAGCCAGGTGTGTGGAAGAGCAGTTGTTCCATGGTTGAAGCAGCCTCTGACTGACTTGTAGGCTGAATTTTGGTAACTGCTACTGTGCTTTTGGCTTGCTAGGATTTAAAATTGATTGGCTTTCAGTAGATCCTGTGCCTGAAAAAATGAGAGTTACTGGTGAGAAGTTCTTGCCTTGTGGAGGAGAGCGAGTGGCAGAGGCAGTGGCCAGTGGCAGTTAGGAAGACTAATATATTTCCAGGCTGGTCTTGCTGGAGTTTCATATTGTTGTGAGCCTTTGGGCTAGCACATCGCACATGGAGAATAACGAACTGCTTGGGGGCAGAGAAGAGCAAAGGAGTAATTGGGCCAGGTGGCTAGCTGTTGAATAGCTAACCCAGCTATTGAAGGACTACAGGATGTTGACCCCAATATTATGACCCCAGAAGTGTGACTGAATTATGGCAACTTTCCACGTACAGGATTTCTTTGAAGACAGTCCTGAGAAATATGCTTGAGATATATTGTTGTAATGGCTTGTAAATTCTGTTCCCATGTAGAAAGGTTCCTTTATGCTGATATATCTGCATCCTTACAGGTTGAACTAACATAATTATCTTGGACTAAAGTCAGAATACATCACACTCCTTTCCAGTGTAGTTAGATTAATGCAGAAGGTCTGAGGGCAGATTTGGGTGAGGAATGTAGTTTGGCAGTCCTATCCTGCTATCGAATCTAGATCTTCACAGGGGTAGGAAGCAACCTTGAGTTCTGGAGACCTCTCAGAATGACAGATGATGTCCAGCCTTGTTGCACAGCATGTCTGTGAAGTACTGAAACTGGTTTACTCTTTATGCTGCTGATGATGTTGTTTAACTGTGCTGCTTTGCAATGTGTTTCCCCCTTGTGTCCAAGTTGTTGTAAAGTTTCTGGGTTTTTTTTGGTCAAGACAAGTCATCAGAGGAGAGCACTGTTTTCTGTGATTCTCTCCTGGATTTGTTGCTTTCTTGAGCGTTTTATGAGTAAGGTGTCATGCTCTACGGCTTTGTCAGTTGTTCCTTGGGATAGAGAAGCAAAACTTTCCCATCTGACAGATGGAAATGGAGGTAAGGAAAGGTGCAAGGAAGTCTCGGAGACCTATATCTCCAAGTCCTTGCTATATTTTGAAACAATGTGTTTCTTCTGGGAAGAGAGTTGGGCCTTGGCCCATCTGTGAGTGCCCCTTGAAGCTTGATGGAGTTGTTCTCTGGGTTATTTTGGTGGCCAAGATGTTCTCATGCCTTCCAGGCTGATGGTGTTCCCATTGCTTACCATCATGGATGCTTGGTGGGCCTTTTACAAAATCCCTTGCAGCAACTGTGCATGTTGGATGGGAGGTTGGATTCACTAGAGGTGAGAGAGATTGAAGGATATATATCTGAAAGTCTGTGCAGGACTGAGAGTATCCTCACCTATTAAGACCAGCTAAAGGGGTGCAAGATGGAATAGACAAACCTAACAAAAACAAATGAATCTTTTTTTTTTTTTTTTTTTTCTTCTCCTTGTTTGTAACTTGTGAAGCCTTCTGGTGAATATGCAAAAGTGCACTCCAGGAAAGCATTGGAGCCTGTCAGCTGAGGGCGGTTCATCAGCAGAAATGTCCCAGCTGCTGTGTGTGCTACAGGCTGCGGCTGTAGCCGTGTGAGCAGCGCCAGTAGGCAGGATTGCGCTAGTGCCAGTTTTCCAGCAAAGTTCTTCCAGCACAGGTGCGTCCAGACAGCAGGGTTTTGTTAGTGCAGGTTGTCAGCTAAAAAGTGGGAGGGTATTTTAATCTTCTGTTTTCTACCCTTCTCAGGCTCTTTCCAGGCAGGCATTGTTTTGTTGGCAGAATTGTAGAATGGAGTTTGAGGGTCTAGTGCTTACCAAAACATGTGTGTCATGCCAGAGACCCTGCAGTGAAATGGCTGATTAAACAGCACTGTCTTGGCAGTCAGTGTCTCTTCAGATCTGCTCTGCCTGCACAGCTGCATCCAGAAACAGCATTTCTGGGATGCCCGTTCCGTGAGCGCCCTCTGATGCCTGCATGACTGCCTCTTTTTAGCCATGAGAGTTTATTTCTAAGTAATCCTGTGTCCCTGAGAGAGGGGTGCTCCACAACAGTCTGTGAGCTGGAGGTGTGCTGTGTTTCCTGCAGCGATTCCCAGGCCATGTGGTGTTTGATTTCTCTTGTGTTACCTCAGGATATGGAGTCTGGCCTTCGTGCTAGGGATTCTCTCAGTCGTAGTAATGACAAGGTCTGTGCAAGGAACAGAGTTATTCAAAATCTGCAAGGTAGCAGTGGCAGGAATTGCAGTTAGCTTCCCTTATGTAATGCCTTTGTCACACTGGCTAGTCAGGCTGGGCCTGGAAACTTTTGTGACTCCACATATTTACATTTTCAACTTCAGATAGTTGCTGTAATGGAATGTGCATTCTAATTGAATTTCCTGTAGATTTTTATTTTGCCAATAAATATGTGGTTTACAGGAATGTGGGTTGCGTGATACACATAAAAATAATGTCCTGTAAGGTCCAGTTTTATGAAGTCAGCTGTTGGGGTTTTTGTTTGTTTATTTGGTTTGGTTTTTTTCATTGGCTCAAATGGAGCCCATCCCTTACATGTTCCAGCAGCGGCATCTGGTGGCTTGAGGCAGATGGAGCACTTAGTAGCTGCTTGGTTCCTACCAAGAGCACTGTGCTCTTAAGTATGTAATAAAGCCACTGCTGTTAGGAATCAAATTGCTCTGATCTCCTGGAATGTATGGCAATGTTTGGCAAGGTGGGTTTCAGTGCTACTATCTGGTGTGCATATGTAACAGTACTGTATGCATATATAAGTTGGTCACCTGTACCTCGTTCTCTCACTTCTGTTCACTGGATGCTTAGCCATCCAGTAAGCTGTTCATACGTTGTCCTTGGAAGCCAACTGTGATTCAACTAAGATTCATCAGAGTAAGAAGGGGATGTGCCCTGTGTGTGTATTTTGCCCTTCCTTCAAGTAGGAAGAGTAAAATCCATGTTTCTGAGAACTGATGGTGTTTTATGCTATGGTAGTTTCTGTCTTGTAGAGAGATTTCCTTAAGGGAAGAATTCTTTAGATAGGAAGTACGGGAGAAGGAATGGTTCAAGCTGTCAGCCAAAGACCATGTGGGAGCTTTTGTTCACTCTGTGACTTCCTGATTCTTTATTTTCTAGATTGCTAAAGTGGAAAAGCTGAAGCCTCTGGAAGTAGAACTGAGGCGCCTAGAAGACCTTTCAGAGTCCATCGTTAATGATTTTGCCTATATGAAGAAACGAGAAGAGGAGATGAGGGACACTAATGGTAAGAGTTTGTGTATTCCTTGGGAGTAGCAGACCTCTAAGACATTTGGTCTTGCTGAATGTGTTATTAGGACAGATTCTGGTGATGAGGCAATTATAGTGGTCTCTGTCTGTTCTGTTCCTAGTTTGAAAAACCCTCTGATATTTCTCTCCTTCTGAAATAGGCACTCAGTCCTGTGTCCTTTCTCTAGAAATCACTTTTTTTCCTCTCTCTTCTTTTCTAATGTGAGTTCTTGCTGCCAGTTGATCACAGTTTCATCTTGTCCCCTCTCATAAGATGGCTTTCATTTATTCTCATGAACTGCTGGTGCCTTCAAGCTGTTTGGTATCTTGACTTTTAAAACTTTGTAGGGATGAGGAAAAAATGTCTTGGGAATTTTGCCCTCTTGTGGCCATCATGATCTTGTGATGTTGGATTCCTACACAATGGTTTGTTTTCTGTTTCAGAGTCGACAAACACCCGGGTTCTATACTTCAGCATTTTCTCCATGTGCTGTCTCATCGGACTGGCCACCTGGCAGGTCTTCTACCTGCGTCGCTTCTTCAAGGCCAAGAAACTGATTGAGTAAAGGAGCAAGACCTCCTCCCCCTCCTTGCAGCCCCAGCTGGACACCGCTGGGAGCAGACCTGGCCCTTGGAGCCATCTCATGGATGTTACCCACTGACTGGAGCTTTCCTGCAGGAATTGGCCCCTAAAGGGGGAGGGGAACACAGACATTGGAGGCAATTGGGGGCTTTTGAAAACCTATCGGATGTTGCGGGGGGAGGTTGTGAAGGGTTTGGGGGTTCCTGGGCACCGGTTAAATAAAAATGATGTTTCCATGACAGCTGCAGCAAGCTTTTGCGCTGTCTGTTCTCCATTTTTAATCCTGGCTTGATGATGCCTCCCATCTGTGTGTGACTGTAGTGTTACTGTGAGCCACTTGATCCTGCCGAGCTCGCTAGGTGTGATGCAGCTGGCACTGGCACAGCGCAGGGCATTCCCTATTATGACCAGGTGGGATCCAGGCCTCGTGCAGGCAAAGGTCAGTGCAGAGCAGAAGGATTCATCATTCGGGCAGGGCCTGAGGAAAGAGGGAGGTCCAACAGTTGGTACCCTCTTTCTCCCTGTGGAAGTTTAAATCTTTATGCTGATGGGTCCAGGCACTTGAGTGTATGGGGCGGTTCAGGCTGGAGAAGGGGGAGCCTTGGAAGGAGAACTTGCTACCATGCTTGAGCTTGGAGAGGAGAAGCATGTCCTGCTCTGATAAGCTGTCCAGCCTTGGTCTCACCCTTGCTCCCTTCATTTTTCTTGGATTAACCTCTTCTCTATTTCAGGTTGCGTGAAAGCCATGGTCAACAACAGCTTCTTGCAATGGAGACAGCAGGCATCAGTCAGATACAGTCACAGTGTAAATAGGAGTAGGCTGTGCTAGGAAACGTTGTCTTACGTTGAGCAGGAGACTTTTCTTACCTAAAACTGTATAGTTTATTCAGCAAACAGCTGGCTGAATCTCCCTCTTTGAGACCTCAAAACAAGGAATGTGAAGCAAGAAGGTCTGTACCCTGCTTTGAGGTCTGAGGATGCAAGAGGTGCTTTGCAGGTTAGCAGAGAATTTGCTGAAAGTATGTGGATGAACTAGAAAGCACATTAGGCTAATGCTGTGCCTGTGGGGCATCTGAGCTGTGCCATCAGCAGAGCCATTGTTTCCTACGCGGTGTTACAGAGAGCAAGTGGAATCACACAGGTTTTTAGCCGTCCAGATGGCATTATGTCAGATAATCCAGGCTAGGAAAGAAAGCAGGCATGTTAATTTCCTGGATTTATATGCTGCAGTTTTTAGGCGCTATTTAAAACTTCCACCTTCTCTGCATTCCTTCAGAGCAAATGGTTCAGCAGCACAGGAGCGTGGACTTGTCTAGACCATTCTGCCTAGGGAAAGGGTTGTCATGGCTCAGCCTATCATTTTGGAAAAGCAACCAAACAAACGTATGTTTATAATTTCTAACCTTAATCTGATCTATTGTTGGGAGGGGAACAATTGTTCAGGGTGAGACAATGGGAAAGAGGATGAAAAGACGACTTGCTATCATCCAGTACATTAGGACTTTGTACCTCCTTTTTCATTGCCAAGATCCTGGAGTTGTTATTTCCACAGGAAAGTGCTTTTAATTTGTTTCCTTTTTAATAAAGCCATATGAAGAACCGAAGTCCACTCTTCTCCCCCTGCATCCACCTTATCCTTGTAAATTTTTGAGAGATGTTACAGTGCAGAACAGCAGTTACGCCACAGCACTGAACTACAAAAGTCACTTGAAGTTAGGTTTAGGTCCTACAGTTTGAAGCCTGTAGCAGATCTGTTAAGGTTTTGCATTTTTATATATATATGAATTGAAAAGACAAGGAGGAGTCTTGTCTTGTCTGTTTTGATATCCTCTCCCTGATCTTATGAGAGTACAAAACAAATCTTTATCCTAAAAATGGTGGTGAGGCTTTTAGTTCCCCAGGTGACTGTTGCAGTATCATCATTACGGATGTTGCTTTTTGACCTTCACTGTTCTGGTATGGTTACCAGAGAACAGATGTGGGGGACTAGTATGAATTTATCTGTAATGATTGGTTGGGGGGTTTTGTCAATTTTCTCAAATAAAATTTCTTTGGGGAAGAGTAACCTACCTCAGTTGTCTGTGCGAGTCTTGTCCTCTTTGTGTGCGTTCCTTCTGGCTGCTGGTCCCTGCAAGCTGACCTGTCATAGGAAAAAAGCAAACATGCAGACCCCGCCAAGACTTTGCGTTTCTCTACCGAAAGTTGTTTTCTAAAGAATTTCAGAATTCTGGAGTCTGGAAAAGACTATATATACTGGATTCTGTCTGGGGAATAGAATCAATACAGTAAATGCTGCTCATTCAGAAAGGGTTGTGTCCTATAAAGGTCTGTTTTGTTTGTTACCTCCCCCTACTTCCTAATTACCTCCTCTATGTGGAGGGATTTTGAGAATACCAGCTTGGTTTATACTTGTCTGATAGTGAAATAGGACTGATGCTGTTGAGTACAAGATTCATTTTTTCACTGTCCGCTCCCAAATAAGAAATTTAATTACTTGCAATATTTTCGTTTCAGAGGAAACTGTAAATTGTTGCAAAGGTGACCTCTATGTGAGCAACAGATGTTTGCTGAAGAGTGATCAGGTATTTGCCTAACTGCTGTCAGATACGCACTGTTGGGCCTCATGCAGTGACCAAGTAAGATGTAATATAATAGGGCTGAGACTTCTTAAATGCTACATAACTGGTTAGTAGTATCAGGGAGAATTTCAAGAAGGGAAATTCCCAGAGGATTAACCTCTACAAGTTCTTGCTTGGATGAATATTTGAGTATGTGAAATCATACAGCTGTTCTTATGCGGTAGGTTGGAGGTAGATCTGAGCTGTTTCAAAGTACTGTGGTTGTAGAGTAGCGTGTTCATTCCATTTTACTTCTGGGAAATGGGCTAAAGTTGAGCTGTTACAGATACTTGGGCCTGAGCCCATCTTTGTGTGTGACAGATGCATCACTGTTAAATCTATAATTGCCTGTAGCAAACTGCATCAGACGTTTCCAGCCTCTTCCTCCCACTTCTCAACATGACTAACAGTTTAATTATCACGCAACTTTCGCAGTGCGTGAACATTCCTAAGTAAGGTATATCTCTGTGTAATCCCCCTCCTGTTATGTCAACGTAAATTGTGTTCTTTGTAAAGAGTACCCAGGGCAGCTGCTGCGTGTGTGCCCACTTCAGGGGACAAATGTTCTTACACTCTGCTCACTTCTCACGAGGCAATACATGAAAAATAACCCACGTGTACAACATTTGTGTTGTCTCGTAACCAACAGATCTGGGTGTGTAACTACAGGGCAACCTCTGAAGGACTTTTCACTTGAGCTAGGCTTTCAGCTGGTTGGCAAGATCTTTAGTGGACTCCAGCCTGTACAATTCATGGGCTCCTACAAGAGGCGTTTGGGAAAACTAGTGTGGCCTCTCTTAACTGTTGCAGATTTATGGAATGAATTTCTGTCTCATTAGTTGAGTCCTTCAACTGTACTTACTGCTGAGGCCCAAGATGTCCTTGCCTTTAATGAATTGTCTCTGTGGGAAATGAACTTTGCTTAAGTTGAAGGGCACTCTGTGGAAAGGAGAGAGCAGGAGGGATGTGGAGCTGCTGGAGAGAGTCCAGCGCAGGGCCACAAGGATGATCAGGGGCCTGGAACATCTGCCCTATGAGGAGAGGCTGAGGGAGCTGGGCCTGTTCAGCCTGGAGAAGAGAAGGCTGAGAGGGGATCTAATCAGTGTATATAAATACCTCAAGGGAGGGAGTGCAGAGGACGGTCATGGTCTCTTTTCAGTGGTGGCCACTGATAGGACTAGAGGAAATGGCTGGAAACTGAAACATCAAAAATTCCATAGGAACTTAAGGAAAAATTTCTTAACAGTGAGGGTGACAGAGCACTGGAACAGGCTGCCCAGAGAGGTTGTGGAGTCTCCTTCTCTGGAGATCTTCAAAACCCGCTTGGATGCAGTCCTGTGCCACGTGCTTTAGGTGTCCCTGCGTTTGCAGGGGGGTTGGACTAGATGATCTCTAGAGGTCCCTTCCAACCCTAAGCATTCTATGATTCTATGATTCTATGATTCTATGATACTGAACCATCTTTCACAGGAGAAGATTTGAATGTGGTGGTTTGTGAAGACTGCAGCTGTTCAGGGTGGGTCGTATTTGCTGCCTTTCCCCATCCTTTAAAAAAAAAAAAAAAGTTATCAGACATCTTTTGTGTTCTGGTATTTCTACCCCAAATAACCACTGTTATGCTGTTTGTGGGGTGACTGTAGAAGACCTATAGAAGTCCTGTCCTTTGGGGAAGATGGGAGGAACAGAGGATTTGGAAAGACTCTGCCTGTTAGTATTTTTTGGACTTTTTCATAAAGCTCAACCAGATGAGCGCGGGCATTTTCTGCAAGTCTAAAGTATAAGTTTACACAGAAAACTCTTTGGGGTTGTTTGTGATAAATCTGTTTTACATCACACTGAAATGAGCTAGGGGTTGACTTACTTGAGCCACATCTGAAACAACTCCCTAAACTTTCTACAGAATAGCGATGAATGACTCCTTATGTTGCAAGTGGTCCCTGTGGTTTATCACCTTAAACTAAATGCCGTAGCTTACTATGTGTGTCATGTTATGTTGTGCTGCTTAAAATGCAGTAAAAGCAAAATTGTGGAGTGGCTGAACCCGATTGTAAGTACTGTTGTGATCATCAGCTTATGAAAGGCCAAGATGAAATTGCAGATAAGAATGAATAAATCTACTTATCTACTTTTTAAATGTGGAATATGAATATTGATTTTTTTTCCAAGTAGTCTGGGGCTTTTCTGGCAATTGTTCTGGATTCTTTAAGCTTATTTCCATGAGGGTTTTTTTTTTTTTTTGGCCAGATTATATATTGCCAGATTACATCTTGCTAGTTATCTCCCTTACAGGGGAGGCAGACGTATTGACTAATATTTAGCAGAACGTATCTGACTTTTTCATCCCATTCTTGTAACTCCTTAATTTGAAACCTCAAGTGCCATCCCTGCTACTTGGAAGGACAACCTCTTTCTATGGAAAGAGGCACAACCCACAGCCAATAAACTTGGATATTCACTTTTGAAATATAATTAATAGTTAATATAATTAATAATGGGAAATGTGAAGAACTCTTTAAGCCTAACCCTGTTACAAGGAACCTCAGTCATGTCACAATCTAAGAGCAATAAAGAATTGCTCAAGGTAGTGAGGTGAAACTGGACAGGGTTTTGTTTCCGTTAATATAATTAATAAAGGGAAATGTGAAGAACTCTTTAAGCCAACCCTGTTACAAGGAAGCTCAGTCATGTCACAATCTAAGAGCAATAAAGAATTGCTCAAGGTAGTGAGGTGAAACTGAACAGGGTTTTGTTTCCAGTCTTTTTAGTGATCTGTATGTCAGCTCCTGAACTCCAATGTGAGCATAGGATCATGTATCCTAAAGTGTACATTCTCTAATATTAAGTTGTTTTTCGGTCTGACAGACAGAAACAAACTTTCAAAACAAAATAATTAAAAGATAATAATGCCCACTATGTATGCAGAAAATCATTTACCTAAGATTAAGGTCGTTAATACTTCCTTATGACAGAGAAGTTATTGCAGCATGAGCTCTAAAATATGATTTATGCAGCTTTTAGTTTATTTCATGACATCTCTTCGATTTTTTTTTAAAGTAGTAACTTTTTAAATATGACTCAGCTGATTTGATTACCATAATATAGCTTGAAAGCTTTTTAGGAACACAACCCCTCAACTCTGCACTTCTCGGGAAGGAGAAGTGGCCATTTGAGCCCTGCTTCCCCCCCGTTGTCGCCGTAACGGCCACGGCGCAGGAGCGGGCGAGAGCGCGCGCGGGGTCAGCGCGGCGGCAGGAAGCGGTTCCGGGTCGGGGGCGGGAGCCAACATGGAG